CTGGTACTGTACTACAACATCTGAAAACTAGTGCATAACTGTAGGTAGTTCAGAGTTCATAGAAGGAGTTTCTCTACAGGGAAAACTGCAGGCCCTCAGTTAAGTGTTAGCTCTAGCTATATTTGAAAAGTCCTTTAAGCCAGTAAAAATATATTGTTTCTCTAAAGCTGAGGGTTATTCCTAAATGTTTCCATTTTCCCATATCCAGCTATCTTTGTTTGTCCCAAAGATGGCTTTAGTAATGTCTTGCTATCAAAATCATTTTTTCCCAGCAGTACTGCCAACCCACATTACTGCTGTGGAAAGGGAAAAAGGATGAGTGAAGGTATACCACTAGCTTACATATGCCAGAGTGTGAAGTGATGCTTTCTTTTCTTTCTGTCTGCAGCAAGACCTTTCTAGAAGAATCCTAGATAAAGGTTAATTTCATGCTGAGAAATCTCACAATGAAAGTCTTCCAGGATCAGGACCAGCAAAAAATATCTACATGAACAGTAGTGGTATTGGGCACTTGCTACTCTGCTTCATGCCGTGGCTTTCCAAAGTGTCTATGGCAAGAACATAGAGGTGGTTATATGAATGATTCTTTCAGGACAGCCTTCTGGGTAACCATCTGACACATACTGTGTCTTCATGTCTCTTCGCTGATGATTTACAGACAAGCAACACAAGTTGGCTCAATACCAATATGCTCTTATTTTAATCCTGTCTGGCAGGAAGACCATTTCATGATCTCTCAGCCCATCTCTCTAGTGCTGAACCACTGAGCTCCATTCGCAACTTGCTTCATGATTAATCTGTGTACTGCCCTGTGAATCCACAACCCAACAAAGCAACAAATTGTTCCTTCGGAATATATTCTGTAAGACTGCATTCAAGGGCACCTATGCTTCAATTTATTTCCCTTTCCTTGATACTGGAGTACTTTGTGCTTTTAAATCAGCCTGGTCTTAGGTGACGATATAGTTGTCTTTAGGATGGACATAGATATTCACATACTACTGGTACTTCCCTTAGAGTTGATACCAAAACTCAGTAGCAGTGTCTGGGGAACTCCCTTACTGTAGAAATCTGAAAGTCAGATGTCTATGCCCTGGAATCTCATCACAGTAAATGGAGATAAATAGATGTCATACTAATGTAAGCATCTAATTTAGCCCAGTGAACATACTATTTAGAGGTGACAATTTCTTTTCAGTAACAAAAAAGGCAGCCAAGAGGACAAAGTCAGACACCTATGTTTGTCTAGTGGTAGGGCAAACAACCGCCCTCCAAATCTCCTGGGAAAAGAATTTGTTGATTGCATTAAGTCCTCTACTGGCTGCTCCAAGTATATCTATTCCTCTTGTATCTTGTGATAATCACTATTCTCTGGTAGGCTAAATGTTATCATGCATTCACTCCCTCTCCACCCTTATTTTTTTAATTTGAAATACTTAATTCTTCTGAATTCCCTCTCTGCTTCTCCCATATTATCAATAATGTTATTAAAATGAACTATATATTTTAAGTTATAAGCAATGATTTAATACTGGTTTCTCTTTTTCTCCGTGAGCTTTATGCAAGATATCTTACTGATTTTAGTATGAGCAGCAGCTGCTCCTCAGTACCTTTTTTTTCCCTCTTTTAAGTTCTTTAGGACAAATTCTAAGAAACAATGTAAACTTCTATCTTTGGAACTTAATTTTTCTTCTGCAATGCACAGCTGGGATAAAAAAATCAATTGAAGTTGATGTACATAGACACGCTTAACTACGTTACAGGGTATTAGCTGTACCCACAATTAAAATGTTGCAAAACCAGAGGTTCTATCCAGAAATCTGTCCACTAATAAAGCAACATTTGCGTACTTCGAGATGATTAAAAGCTAGGAAAGTCTCACCACTAAATACCCAAGATTAAAAGACCTCCAGAGAATCCAGCACTTAGTAGCATCTTAAGCTTTTTTCCTATGGATCACATATTTTGCATACTACTTTCTGCTCAGAGTATCTACATTTTTCCTATTTTTGCCCTAGAAGAATGTCATCATATCTTGGAAACATGACTAAGGCTAATAAATTTTTACATTTCAAAGGAAAGAAAATTCCTTAACCACTCTATGACAAGTTGATGATGCAACTGACACAGTAACTAGTCACCATTAATCACCATTAACAAAGCTATCTGCTTTCTTTTCACATTCAGTGCAACCTACCAGGCCACTAGCTGTTGAATTTACTGCATACTGCAGTAACTAGAACAATGTAAAAAGATATATAAAAATAGGATATTCAATAGGAAAAATAGTTGCATTTCACTATGATAGCTATCAGATAAGAAAGTAGATAAGCTCCAATACCAACCATCAACCATAATACGGTTATTCATGAAGAAGCATTGTATTGCTCTGTAGCAATATAGTGCATTACTCCCCACAGTTTTGAAATAGCAGCATTACAGCAGTACTACACTAGACCACTCTTCTGATTTCCTTACATTTGTCAGCATTTGCAATAGATTTTCAAAATAAAGCCCACACTTATTTTTCTTACAGAAGGGTCTCAGGTGAATTACTGTAAATGTATTGTAAATTGGAAAGAGGTGTTTGGAGTGCTCCTGCGTCTGGCATCTTCAGGCTCCAAACAGTGAGTACCACCCACTTGTAGAGTCTGTTCCTGTGGCGAGCAGCCAGGCAGAGCACTTCCCCACACTGAACAACAGCATCATTCCCAGGACATACCTGGAAAAGCACTAATACCTAGTTTGAGTAGTGACGAGACAAAAAAGCGAGGAAGTGGACAGTGCGTATCTTTCTCCACCTGCCATAGTCTGAAAGTGCATGCTGTTTACACAGCCTGTTTTTTGTAACTTCACTTTATCGGTTGGCCTGCAGAGCATTTCAAAAGCATAACCAACATTTCTTTCACTTCGTTTTGGCTGCATTTAAGGTGATCTGACTTTATTGCCAACTATTAATTTGCTTATGTGTGTGCCTGTGCATGTTCACGTGGATTATACTTACTGTAGGATCTTTGCCAGCCATTTTGCACTCTTCAACCTTGTTTGCTGACGCCGGCCAGAAAATCTGTAAGGAAAGAAATATCTTTTAAGTAACATATTTATTATATAATTTAAGCAAAATATTTTGCTGCCAAACTAACACTAATAAATTAATATTTTGGTATCTTATACACTTTAATTATAAGGAAAAAAGAATTTCCATTGATAACTGAAAACAACTTTCTGTCTTAGCATGCAATAAACAAAATAAAGCCCCAGGTCTTTGGCTGATATAAATTAAGTTTATTGCATATTTTAAAGATAATTTATTCAGAATCCTTTCTTCTAAATAAGAGAGATGCTTTCAGTATTATTGCCTAATTTATTGCCTAGATTATTGCCCATTTTTACTTTTTTGCTTTTATTGAACTAAAAATTATTCACACTAGAAACCAGAATAAAATATTGCAAGAAGGGTTCTTGTAACAATGTTTTGGTTTTAACAGCAAAGGTTTGGATAGATTATGATCAAACCTGATTAAAATCTTAAGATTTCAGACTGATTTCTTTCAGACAGTTTTCCAACAAACACTTCAATGCCTGAATGTTTATCTGATCTATACTCAACTCTAAAGATTTTGAACTTCCTCCATTATTTATTTTGATTTTGAAATAGACGACATCCATTAGATATCTCTCCCTAGAAATTTAGGAGGTGACAGAGCCTGATAATAATTAGCCTTAGGATAACATAAATAATAGCGATACAGTATCTCTGTATATATATACACATACATATATAGAGGGTTGTAAGTATGCATGAATATGTGTAAAGGCATAAGATTAGCAAAGTGAATCTGTTATAAAAATAAATAAACAAACAAAAATGTGTGGAATTGCAGATGTTAATTCTGAGCCTAATACTGCGTGATCACATTCATTGCCAGAAAATTTTGTGTGTTTTTGCTTTCTGTTGACTTTTTTTGCTTTATATGGCAGAATATATGTCATGCAACAAAGGCCTTCCTATCTAACCAACTCTGCACAGAATTAAAACCATCCTGCTAAGGGAAATCTGGAGCACGCCGTGCTGGAGCACAGCAGCTCCCATGTAAGGGTACCTGTATCACTGGTGAGATGGGAATTAGTAAAAAGGTCACACAAGCTATTTCAGATCAGAAAGGGTGGCCCCACTTCAGAGGAAGATTTCTATACCATTAGGAGGTGGAAGGACACATTCAAGCCATCACACGAAAGGCATTTAATTTACATGTGTAAGTTAGAGTTAGCCTCCCTGGACTGCCTGAACAATCAATTCAGATAGACAGGCATGTCCAAAGGGTGATTCAGAGCAAAGCCTAATTTAACTGTGCTTAATCACCCTCCAGCGGGGCCTCTCTCTCTCTCCTGACACATTAAAAGCCTTGCCTCTTAAGGAAAGCATTTATCTTCACTGCTGCAAGCTGGATATCTCTGCCCCTCAGTACTCCTGAGGTATAGTAATAAAGCCCACAGATTAAAGGATCAGACGAATTTGGTAGAACAAGGCCTTTAAGGTACACTTTAAGGCAGTGTTGTAGCTGTGATAATCTAAAGATAGGTAAGGCGAAGTCTGTAGAGAAGTAATATCTTAACAGTTAGACTTCTGGGCACGCAAGTTCTTCTGCAGGACACCTATTTTGAAAGCAGAGAAGCTGGATTTGAACTGCGTCTGAGGACAAGAGAGGAACTTGTGAAAGTAGTTTAAACATTCAATAATTTGATTGTTTTCATACACGGGTCGCCTACTACAGTCTGGGGATGTGGGACACAGAAAGTCCTTAGAAAATGACATCTTGATAAGCGATAGAAGCAGCCAGAAAACAGGCAGTGTCAAAAAGGAGATATGCGTCATAGTGTCCAAAAAAACTCAGCTATGTAACTGAAGGGCAAGGGCTGACACAGACATAAGAAAAGATTGGAAATCAAAAGATTGGAAATCAAAAGATTGGCGATCAGGCTGCGAAGTACAAAACAATAATAAACATAGTTGAAGGTTAAAGACAACTCTGTCCTGTTGGTTTTTGACCTGCAGCCTGAAATGATAGCATGACTCTTGTTCTTCCTCACAGTCGTCTGCTAGAAGTGCATTTTGAATGATCTTAAACCTTGGACAGCTGCAGAAACCATCAACTCATACAAATTTTCCCTATGAGGCCAACCCAAGCTGAATGTCACTTCAAAATGAGTAAACAGGTCAGCTTTTAAACAGTGTTTGAGGAGCAGCCATGCTAATAGCTTGTTCATCTTGCATTCCACATAAAACAAGAACTATTCAGTAAGGTGTGGGTCTGGACTTTTGCCTGCTGCAAAATAATCAAATACACATTCTTTGTCTTAAGAAGAAAGGCATGTAGTGAAGCAACCTTGGGTAAAAATAGATCTCGAACTTACACTGAGAGGGTCCTGGCTTATATTATTAATATTCAATGACAGAATATGATCTTTGCTGCCCACGTAGATCCGATCCTGATCTTCGTCCATGAATAATATCCTGTAATCCAGGGGACTGTGGGATATTCTGTGATATTCAGAGGTCTTAGTTTCTTGCAGCTCTGAAATAGTAAAGACAACAAATTAGTAAAACATTTTAGTTGACTTACTTGCTTTACAACTGCATTTCTTTCTAAATGAAAGCATTTTTGAACACAAGTGGGGTCAGTAACAGAAGAAAAACTCTCATCAAAAACTTGGTAATAATGCAATAGTTGAGTTTTAGAACAAATTTTCCTTTCCCGGTTTGAATGTAATTCTTTTGTACATTAAGTAGCTAGATCTATCTCATAAAAATCAGGCATTGATGTTATTCATTCATCTAATTAATTCTTATTTTAATGGATATAATTATTTACACCTCTGGCTTTTAAGGAAGATCATATATTAAATTAATCAATGTGCTTAATACACTTTGAAGTTTATGACAGCAGAAAATCCACAAGATCAATGAAAGCTACATAAGAACAGTTTACTTTCTTTCCCTACCAGGGGACTTCACTAAGAATAGCTTTATTGTGTTCAAGGTCAATTTTATTATTTATTTTTAGTTCTTCATCACCATGTATGGCTTATTTAAAAGAAAAAAAAAAGTATTCAGTCAAGCTTAAATGTGTCCATTTATTCAGCTGTTTGTATATGGGATTTGGACCAAAGTATCAGAACTGTAGAACTAGCTCTATATTTCCACTTAAAACTTCCTTCAATGAAGAGAAGTGAAAAACATCCTTTGATGTCAGTGCAGGATCAGGCCTGCTACAGGAAAAGCACAAGCATCTGCAATGTAAGTATTACTTGTTGTCCTTGAGAAAGCTCAGCCTTCCTGTCTTTCCTTGGCCAATATGTTTTGGCCCCCACTCAGATATTTTTCTTTTCAGTAATAACAGAAGGGATATTTCTCAAGAGCTGAGAATGGAAAAATAAAACATTAATAATCAATTTGTCCTTATTCAAATATTTAACATGTAATTATGCTTTCTTACCTCATGAACACTATTACTGGATTGTTTTTCCTGTGACTCTAAAAGCGTGGCAAATACACAGTACATATGAAAACAAAGCCTTACATATGGAAACAAAGCCTTGCTATAATGTTTATTCATAAATCTTGGAACTGAATCCACATCCCTTTTGCAAACTGTTTGTCTGAGACCATTCTTATAACTGTTACTAAAGCCTAGTTTTTGCTTGAAAAAAAGTTTTTGCTCATTAGTTCTCTACAGAAAACAGTAGATGTCTTATCCAAGATTAATTATCTAAACTTTTTAGATGACTAGATTAACGTGGGCTAATGTTATTTTGGAAAACAAAAGTCTCAAAACAAAAATATGTACTCTTTCATAATAATGAAAAAATAGTGTCTAAAGTATGCACTTTCTGTAAAACACATTAGGTGGAGCATAATTTACTTGGAGAGCAATTTTTGACAAGCTGTAGACAACATAGAGACAAAGGCTGCAATCTTGGGACTTAAACCTATCTACTAGAGATCTAATGATTGAAATAATACTTATCAGTCTACAATTTGCATTGATAAATATGGCACATAATGCTACTTAATTATTATAATGATTGTTAAATAGTTTCTTTGAAAGATGGAAAATATCTTCTGTTACTGAAAGATACATAATTTTGATTCACTTAGGTGTGTGACAGCTCACAGGAGCTGAGATGACTACATGAATTTACTTACGGTAAAATTAAAAAAAAAAGAAAAAAAAACAAACAAAAAAAACCCCCAATAAATAATATTTCTACTTTGTACATCTCTCAACAGAAGATAAACATACAATCAAGATTTACAGTCTGCACCTAAATGCTTAAACTGGAACAGTACTCATTAAACGCATATGAAAACTGTCCACATCACCTTCAGAAGTCTTTCTTCAGTGCTTGAAAAATCAATTGTTTTACTTTACTAAAAAAACAATCCTCCCTGTAAGCTTTTAGCTGGAGTTTTTAAAGGCACCATGGAGACTCACCAGCACAGTGCATTAAAATGAAGTCCCTTTGCCTGCTCTGAAATTCTCAGACTGACCTTTCATAAGAAGCCTGAGAAGCTAGTGCTCATCCCTTTTCCTGGTGGCCTTATTAACTTTACTGTAATATTTGGCAGCTATAAAGTAAACTGAACCTTCTCATAACCGTCTATGTGATGTACAAGGAAAGCACAGATAAACTGTGAGATGCAGCAGTTTCCTGCACAACACCAAGTAACTGTGAGCACAGTGATCACACAGCATAATGCCCTTCCTTACTGCTCCAGTGACTGACAATGACTGACAGTGAATAAACCATGATGGACAAAAAAGATGATCAAGATGATTGTATTTAAGCAAGAGACAAAAATAGCAAAAGATACCTGATCTCCACACCTTTCAGTTATTAAAACCCATTATTTTCCAAGATTTTTAACGTCTTTGCAATGGTATTACTCTAAGGCACCCAAAAGGTAATCTGTCTCCATCAAGACGCTGGTGAGGAGAATACCTTATGACATGTTGCTAGACTATGGAAACTGAACACCATTCACAAGGGGAAGGAAAGCCCTGAAACAAATACTCTCATACAGATTTATTAGTTTTATTTCTTTCAGTGCTGAAGCCTATGGCTTATTAGCCTCTTACGGCTACTCAAGCAAGTGGAGAGGGAATTTCTAACTGATAAAATTTTCATTTAACAAAATTTACCACACAATCATCCAAGAAAATTTTATTTTTTAAAGATCTACTATCTGGGTGTTGTTATTTGTTTTTTTTTTGCTGTAAGGTCTTTCACATTCCTCTTCATCTCCAAAAGGTTTTGTAAAAAAATGATTCAAACATTTCCTGACCTTCAAGGCAAATTCTAATCCATATTCTGGGAATTTAACCAAATACTCAAAGCAGTAAACCCTGTATGGAAAATGATGATGTGGACAGCTCTCTGAATATTAACATTTTTGTTTGACAATAAAACAAAGGATTACAATATTTTCCACATGCAAATAACTGTCATTCTTAATGATACAAGAACAAATCTTTGTTCACCCTTTTTTTATCAGTCAGTGAATTTAGTTTTGGCTTTCCTCATTTATAAAGCCAATGCCAACTTGATCCATAGTGTCAGAAATCTGATCTTAGAGGACAGGTTATACAGCTCTTGTCCCTTTTAATGAAAAAATAAGAGCTGCAGTGAACTCTCTCCCCAGAACTATTATTATTAATGACCTCCACATTTTGGAGATGCTGATGACTGGGAGTTTCCTCCATTCACAGTGTACATCTGACAATTACGCAGTTTAACACCTACTCCTTAATTATCCTTCTAATCCACCACAGAAAAAAAGTTAATACAAGTATTATTTTAAAAAAAAGTTGTGTTCTTGCAGGAGAAACAACACAGTATTTGTGTAATAGCTATAATTAAGCCTTTGTAACACTCCAAACTCATTGTGTTGCGCTTGACAAAACAAATTACAGCTACCAAAGACTCGAAATCCAGGAAGGTGGAAATACCTCACACACCCTGTTACACACATATTGTCCAACCTGCACAAGGGTATATGATCTGTATATGCTCATATCAAGGGTATAGGATATCTACATATCAGGTTCTCTAAATGTCTTATTTAACACAGAACATCAACCTTGCATCACTCCTTAATTCAAATTCACTGGTGTCACAATTCTGAAAACACAGCCTGACTTTCCTAATGTGAAGAATATAATAATCCTCAATATTAAGAACCTAATATAAGTGACTTCCTCAGTAGACATCTTATAGTAATATGGATGTTTGATGCATATTACTGATATTACTGAAACTAATGCAATTTTTAGCAGGACCTTTACAAAACATGATTATTTTCTATTTGCAGACTCACATAACCACTTGATACTGAGAAGTTCAATATAATCACAAAATATCTTTACCTTGCAGCGTTTGGTAAGCTACAGCCATGGTATGCAAGCATCCCCAGCCCAAGTTCAAAGCACTGAGTTTATCCACTGCTAAGCTGTGGATACATGAGAGAGTGCAGTTGTCTCTGCACTATACCATCACTTGGTCTCCAGCCTAGCAGGCTTCTTTGAGCAAATCTAGGATGCTCTGTCAAGCTTTTAATTTATGATCCCCTGTGGTAATGTACAAGAAATAATATGTTTTCCTCCTCTTTCCTGCTGGCATATGGATTCAGTCTCTGAAGGTTGTTCACGGAGAAGTCAGAGCAGAAGCAGAGATTTGGTGTATGTGCCTCAAAAAAAGCAGTGAGTAAAGCTATAAAGCATCTAGTTTCACATGCAGCACCGCAGTGAAGGGGACAAACACATCTTTCCATAAAGATGGGCTACCTCTCTCCAGGGAACTTCTGTTGCCCAAATTGGTATGGATTTTATGTAGCCGTAGGGATTTGGAAGTCAGCAATACAATGCTGTTTTATTTTATTCCCCGATGGGGTATGGGGTGCACAAACGACAGGCCTTGTGTACATTTAGCAGTAGGCTTGACATTAGCTTCTAGTTAAGGAGGCTGTAAGACTCACTTAAGCCTCATTAAGTCTTCAGTTTGTGCCAACAAATATGCCAGCCCATGCCAAATGTGAAACTGCAATGTAAAATCTCACCGCCTAGGAAGTACAATGAAATCAATTCTCTTTTTTCTATTTTTTTATTACCCTAGAAATAAATACTTAAGTAGAACAATGCTTGTGCTTATAGCATCAAATGGAAGTGGCTCCCTTTCACTCAGAGGCCACTTTTGAACAAGTGAAAAATAATCTCCATAGACAAATTTTGTGAGGCACTGTATATAATGTTCGTAGCATTGAAAGAAATGGTTGTACCTTTAAAAAAATATGAGTGAAATCAGAGATAGCTGCCAAGTTGCAAAAAATAATTTTAAAAAATGCTTCAGCCAGAAGAAAAACTCTGTTTTATTTTAGTTTAAATATTTTCCTTTCTGCTTCGTATTGACTAACTTCTCTGTTTTGTACCTTATTAGTAGAAATGACTGGAAGAGATCTAGTTAAAAGATACCAGATTTTATAAGAGTCTAATGATTTTATTTTCTTGACCTTATTTCTGATT